ACTCATCCCACAGAGTGTCTGGTCCAGGCGATGAACAGCCGACAGGCCACTCATCCCACAGAGTGTCTGGTCCAGGCGATGAACAGCCGACAGGCAACTCATCCCACAGAGTGTCTGGTCCAGGCAATGAACAGCTGAGCATGTAGCCACTGCCCCGCCAGGCCTGCTAGATTCTAACTAGGACCTGATCTTGTCACTCATGCCCCTTACTTTCAGGATCAACGATAGGACTGATACTTCACTTTTCACAAGAATATGAAGTTCTTTTTCCTGTATTAAGCTAATAAAAAGGAATATAAATGTGAAATCTTAAAATATCTTTGCCATCTCTTACTGTTCATTACACTGGTTTTATGTCTATTATAAGTGTCAGAAATCAAGAGAGCAAGAGAGAAAAAACCACCCACAAGCCTTATATGAAACTTTGAAAAGAAATGCTTTAATGTACATGGGGGAAAGTATGTTGATGTGGCTGTTATTGTTGAATAATCTTTTAAACCATTTTGGTTGTTGATGTTACGTTCTGTTTCCTTCCCCAGTGAGAAAAAGAAAGAAAAGGAACGTGAAGAATTGTGGAAAAAACTGGAGGATCTGGAGTTAAAGAGAGGTCTTAGACGTGATGGGATAATTCCAACTTAACAAAAATACTGAAAACAGCATTACTAACCTGTGGAGTCACACATTTATGTAGTAGAAGATGGAGCAACAGTTTTCTGTATTGTGCAACTTTACAGTAGATTTCACATTTGTTTCATTATTACAATGGCACTGTATATACCTACCTGTCTGTAAGTAAAGGAAAATCAAAATAAGGACTTCAATCCAAAGTTTGGACAGTCGATGGACTTCTCAGAACTTTGCAAACATAATCATTGTTCTAACCCTCTTTAAAAACAAACAAACAAACAAAGCAATCTTCAGAGATCTGTTGATGAAATTGCTGTGTTAAAATTCCATTGTTGGGAGTTCCTTATTTATCATTAGCAGAGAGTATGATACAATTTTCAAATGTGAACAATCTTAAATTTAGCTTGTCTTCTGCTAAGCTGTTAAATGTATTTATAGTAAATGGAAGAAAAGAAAAAAAAAAAAGACTGTCATTTCCTATCAGTTTGTCTAACGTTCTCCTCTGGATAACTTGACTGTAATTTGACATCTTTTCCTTTTGCACATCTCCATGAGTTGAATGTCCATGTGAAACAGGGCCCTGAACTAGAAAGGACCCTGATAAAAGTTTCGTTTATTGGGGTGAACGTCTTTCTAGTCACCAGGTAGTCCTGGTGCTCCATCAGTTGTAAATTAGGAGTAAAAGAGAAGAGGTGATAAGCATAGTAGGGAAGGGAATTTTGGATTCATTGCATCAGTTTATGGTGACTCTAAATCAAGGTCTTGAATCCTCTGAAAACAGGCACTGACTGGCCCATCACCGGCTTCAGTACCTGGCCGGTATTAGTGGTAGACATCATTGAACATACATGCCAGAGATGTTATAGAAATGTCAGCCAAACTTCCTTTTGGACCATTTTTAAATAAGAAAGACAAATATGAAACAGTACAACCATGAAATTGATCGCCAGAGCTTGTGAATCTAATTGGGAAAAGAGTTGAGCAAACAGCCTGGACTGTTTGGAGTTGTTGCCTTACTTTTTAATATGTATTTATAAAGTATTTCAGCAAAAGAGGATGTAGCCTCGGGGCTGGGGGTACCCACAATAACAGGTTACAGTGTTTTCTTGTAGATTCTTGCTCTATATCTCATCCCAACGCCAGCCCTGTTTTTAGCCAGAAAGGATTCAGGATATGTACATTACTAGGCATCCTGAATTGGATGCAGATTCCTAACTACTGTATTTGTTACCAAAAGTGATTCTACAAATGCTACTGAAAAAAAAAATCTGGAAATCCCTCTTGTCCTAAGTATTAATAATAAAGTTTAAAAATGCTTTTATATCAAAGGTGCATTCTGACCAAATTGTTTAAGAAAAAAACAAAATCTAGGGCTGTATTATAGGTGTATCGTATTGGCTCTCTGTATTTAAAAGAGGAATCTTACATCTTGGGTAGATAATATGCCGATGACATTTGTGTACAGTATGTACTTAACCTAATGCCACTGCGTTATGATGTACTGAAAGGTATGTGTTTTGGGATTGATTTCCAAGATGCTTTTTACTTGTTATGGGCACAGCAGCAGTGAATTGATAATCCTAAACCATTTCCAGCAGTATTCCTAGTAGAGAGCTGATTTTGTGTTCATGAGTGAAATTATGATTAGTAGTGAACATGAACACGTGAACTGTTGTTGCTCTTACTAGAAATACAATATGAATATGGCCTTGGATATTTTCGTCCTCCATCTAAATAGAAAGTAGAATCTGCAGTTTCATTGTTTCCAAGAAAAAAGGGGGGGAAACAGGAAAGGAAAAAATATAAAATAAAAAGGCCCTTCACCTCTCTCCCCTGTTGTGTTTCAGGATTATCAGGTCACAGGTTATGTGTAAAAAGTCAGTTAATTATGGGTATTGTCATCTCAGTCACTTTGTAAAAACAAAGCAGAACTTGGCATTGTTAATTTTGGAAGAGAAACAGCAGTAAAAGAATTATATGCAACACCAAACACAACATGGTTTCATGGAATTAATAGAATTTTTTTTTTTTTTAAGAAAATGGAGTTTCAGTGTAAAATTGGCACAGGTTGCCAAAGAGGAAACAGCTTTCAAAGTACTGGAGCAAAGATTCAAGTTGTGATACTAAAGATAAAAAATAAATTTGTAGCAATCATCTTCTCCAGCCCTTTGGTTTCAACTCTGCCTCCCATTAATTTCTGACAGTGTGAACTCTGCTCATTGTTAATTCATCTTGTTAAAACAGAGGACATTCGAATTCTCAGTGTATGAACTAGCTCTTCCCATTGGCATGAAATGCAGTCATGTGAACTGAGAAAGGCCAGGATCCTGTGCTGCCCTGAATTTGCCCTCCCCCAGGGGAGAACGACCCAGAGATCTCTCGTGTCAATTTTGTCCATGGATCATTCCAAACTGAGAAGAATAAAGGGAAATTTTAGACACATGTAAAGAAGCAATTATAGGCCTGTGTCTAAAATCCACAGGGAAACCTCTGAGGAGAAACACTGTCTTTTCTTTTTTAACCGAAAGAGACAATGTGGCATTTGTCATGTTGTGCCCATTGACGCAGTGAACTGCGGTCATCGGACTGCTGTCCTCGCCATCGTTAAGGACACACTTGCTGCATTTGCAGCAGCCTCTCTCCTTGTCCCTTCCCACCATTCTGCTGTTGCTGCCACTCAAGTTCATGTGACAAAGGCGTCTGTGCTATATTTTGTTTGCTTCATAAATTCCCAGAACTATAGATAAATATATTTTTTAAATAGCAGATATTGTAGTTAGCGAGTGATGATCACTCCAACCCTGCCTCTACCATATTGGTTTTAGGGGTAGGATTAAGAGTGTCTGGGTGGAAAAATGATTAAAAAATAGACAAACCCGTGGTTGGAATGATGCCAAGACCTCAGGCTGTGGGCCTAGGTCAATGATGTGAGTGAACGGACCCATCCGATGCTTTGAATCGCGCATGCGTTCCCTTTCTCAGCGTGTCAGTGTCCCCGGTCCTGTACCCACTGTGTTTCCTTTTTGTCCTGCTTCATTTTATTATATTTTGCTCTCGTCAACATCTCGACTGTTTTTTATAAAATAAAGTAATAAAAAACAATGCCCTCGATGCCGCTGGATACTCACAAGCAGGGTCCCTCCCCTTCATGTCGGCTGCTTGCCTCAATGGAAGGGTTTAATTTATTTTGTACCTCCCCCTATGCGTGGGGCAGTCCAGTGTGCAGAGCCAGAAGTTGCTTATAATTGCACCTGCTGTACTTAAAAGTATGGCCCGGGGCGCAATCACACTATGGGAAGAAGAAGAAGGGGGGGGAAAAAGTATATTTAGAGCTTTAAAAGCTTTTTTATTTTTTTGTGGGGTTTAGGGGTGGGAAAGGGAAGATATATGGACCTTTGTGGCATTTTTAAGTGTTTAGAGCTCCTCCCCCTCCTTTTGTTTTGTAATTTCCCTTGAACGTAATGCACTGACCTGACCCAGGAAATGACAAGAGTCTTTGTTTTGATGCTGTTACCAATGCTACGTAAGATGCCAGACGCCTATAGCGGGAAGGAAAAAACAAAAAAAGGTGGCCCCAGACGCGATCAGTGATGTTTTATTTGCACGTCGATATTCTTATTTTTGTATTCTGGCTCGACTGAGTCTAGAGAGAAGGCACAGGCCACAAAGGAGTTTTCTAGTCGGTGTATTGGCAATGCGTTTTCATATTCCCAAGTGTGTGACTTTGCGGATCTAAAAGGGCTGTGCGTCTTGAGAGAAGGTGGTGCGTGTTGGTCGCGCGCATGTCGTGTGAGCTGCTGCTTGGGCACGATCCGCAGCAGCTCTTGGAGACGAATGTCCCAGCTGACGATGTCTGTGAATCTAGATTTCCTTGACCTCCCTTTCCCTCTACTTGTTTCTTCTTTTTGAAAATCATGCATTGTAAATAAGTTGTAACCAGACCTCATGTATCAATGGGGAACTTTCAAATATAAATATTATCAATCTGTTTTCTGGTTGTTGTCTGATTTTTGACTGAAGAGAATAACATATCCATTACTTTTGGTTTGAGGATTTTGCTCTAGCTTCCTAAGTCTTTTGGTATTTTAGTATTTAATTGTTTTAGCAGGAGAGGGCAGCAAAAGTTCGTTTTACCCATAAGAAATGCTGTAATCCATGATTGGTTTTAAATTTAGGTGTGTGTGCGTGTGTGCGTGTTGCATCTGTTGTTGGAGAGGTAAAAATGAAACAAGTTCGATATGAAAAGTTGCATATGAAAATTATAGACAGACTCAAATAGACAAAGAATGCAACTTCTGATTCACATCAAAGTTAAAAATGCCTCAAAGCAGTCTTTCCCAGCTCTGGCTAAAACATGAGACTTCCTTTTTAAACAACACAATGCAAGCGGAGTCTTCATCACTTGGAGTTTAAAATGTCTTTCTCCGGATTGCTTTACTTTTCTTCAAAGTGGTAAAAGAAACAAAAACAAACGAAGGTGCTCCCAAAGAGAAACAAGGGTAACCTCCGCTTTCACCAGTGTGAGAGGCCCTGTATTGTGGGCACACCATAATAAAAGGGGCAGCGAAGAGTTCTTGGGTGCCTGGTTGTTGTGTTTATGTGTTTTGGACCTCTGGGCTTCTTGCACTATACAAATAGTATGATCGATTGTCTTGCCTTGAGGCTATTGGTTTTCCAGCTTTCATTTGGGGAAAAAAAAATCAGCTTATGATTAGAGATCTGGATATAGTGGGAATCATTCTGGTATCTGTTGTTTTTTAGCAAAATATCCCAAAAGTCAGTGACTTAAAGCAATAGCACTCATTTATTTTGTTCACCAATCTGCAATTTGAGCAGGACTTGGCAAAACTGCTTGTCTCTGCACTTCAGCCATCAACTGGGGCGTTTCTATTGGAACAAGAAATTCCTTCCACTATGACTGGTGGGATCGTGCAGGTGGTTGGCTGCTGCTCAGCGGGCGGCCTTGGTTCCTCTTGACCATGGCCTTCCCCTGGCCGCTTTGGCTTCCTCACATATGGGTTCTCATGATGATTATTTCAACACACAGGAAGTGGAAGCTGCCAGTCATTTGAGACCTGGGTCCAGAAACTGACACGGCCTCACATCTGTCATTTTCGAAGTCAGCATCTGCCTAGATTCAAGCCGAGGGGATAGAACCTCACCAGCTGATGGGACACGTGTCAAATACCTTGCAGTCATCTATACCACGGAATAAGGAGCATTGGTGACTTAGTGGCTTCAGATTGGCCTGTGATCCCAAAGTCAGCAGTTAGAAACCACTAGCCGCTTCTCGGGAGAAAGATGAGGCTTTCTGTTCACCCTTATAGGGCCATGAGTTTGCATTGACTCATTGAGAGTTGCTGGGTTTTTTTTTTAGTTCCCTTAAGATAGATGCTTTTAAAGCACCGGGTTTAGGTGTGATCTTCTGACATGACCAATTGAATCGCATCGAATTTGTATCCACATACAGTGTTAACTAGTTTTTCATACTCATTTAAGATCTGTATTGGGAGGGAAAGTCAGCAGTGGCAAATTCAGCAATTTTGTATGTATGAACATGCATTTATAACATATTTAAATTTCAAGAACTTTAGCATTCAAAGAGATGTAAGAGATTATTTCCTGAGCTTATCTTGCCTCCTGCATGTGAATGAATATTTACAGTGGAGGCAAACTCCCACTTCCTGGGTTTCCCTGAATGTGTTCCAGGTTCATGTTGCTAAGTGCCATCCAACTGGTTTTTGACTCGGCATCCCAGCGTATCACAGGTTGAAATGTCCCCGGCTCGGTCCCCCGTGTATCACAGGTTGAAATGTCCCCGGCTCGGTCCCCCATGTATCACAGGTTGAAATATCCCTGGCTCAGTCCCCCGTGTTTCACAGGTTGAAATGTCCCCGGCTCGGTCCCCCATGTATCACAGGTTGAAATATCCCCGGCTC